GATTTCTGTTTGCTAAAGTTATCACTTGTGGTATTGCTGTTAAGCAGTACTAGAGAACTAACAGAGAGTGGGGTGTGGCTCTCACAGATACCTACAATGAGGAAGTGGTTTTAGAATTGGGTAATGGGTAGAGTTAAGGTATCTGACAGTAAAAGCCTAAATTACTTTGAAGAGATCATTCATAGAATTATGGACGTCAAAAGCAATTCTGGTGAGGAAATGAGGAGAGCTGTAGAGAAAGTCTATATTGTCTTAGAGAATGTATATGGTACCAGCAACAGATTATTGCTAGAAATGGAGATGTAAATGTGCTTCTGGTGAGACTTTGAAAGAAACTGATGAACATGTGATTGGACAATGGAGGAAGGGTGATGCTTTTTATGCAGTGGCAAAGAACTTGTCTGAATTATGGTCAGATGTTTGGTGGGAGGTAGAACTTATCGATGATGAACTTAGATATCTGGCTGTTAAGATTAAGCACAATCTTAAAGGGCCCTTTTCTAGTAAAATGAGAGAGGAAAGAGAGGGACTTAAAACAGAACTTAAAAATTTGGAAAATTCTGTTGTATGTCTAAGGAAACATGGTCTAGGATTTTCACCAAGGACATGGCTACACTGTCCTTTGTTCAAGAGCTTAAGCCTGTGACGGATAGAGCTAAGCAACCACCACAGCAGAAGCCCATCAGCTTAGGCTGAAGGGGACGGAGAAAGAACAAAAGGAGAGAATGCTGTCTGCCTCTTGGACTCCGACAGGCCAAAGGTACTGCCTCTGAATTTCTGTTTGTTAAGCCCGTCACTTGTGTTCCTGTTAAGCAGCACTGGCTGGCTAAGACGGCTCTCAAACCCTTTCTAGCAGCTTTCTCGCACTCGTGACAGCTGCCTGGGTCTCCTGTGCTCAAGTGAAAGTGGGGGTCTGAATTGAATGGCCTGACTCTGTTGGTTCTTATCTAGGAGAGAGACAGCCGTGTTGCAGAATCAGAATGGCCTTATGTCAGGGTAGACATTTGGGATTTCCAACAGTTCCTGGGTATTGCTGTCAACATTAAGGGCTTCTCATCAATGTTGGACCTATGTTTTGCTTGCTTTGGTAATGCTGCTTACTGGTTTAATATCCATCATTAGCCATATAAGCATTTCTTATCAGATTGGTTTTCAAAGATTGTTTTGTCTATGTATAACTGAGTCATCATTAGGAAAAACTCACTTCAATAGAAGGAGAAGATGATTGGGAATAAAGCGAGTGTTTGGAGCGGCATTTCAGACGCTGCTGCTGACGGCCTGGGTTATTTTCCTGTGGAAGAAAAACATCCCCGTGTGGTTGTCTGGTGTTTTGAGTGATGAACTACTTCTCTTTACCTCGATGAACTTCTTCTCTTTACCTCGATAATACTTGATAGTTGTCTAGGAAAGAAAAGGCCTCTTCCGTGGGTATCAGAGAAGATGATCAAAGTGAAGGCTGCATTTCAACATTCCAGGCAAATGGTATTAGAACAAGCAAAAATAACTCACCAGGGTCACTTCTGTATCTATTAATACCTTTTTCCCTCTTTCCTTTGTCACAGCTTTTTATAACTACGACGCCAGAGGAGCAGATGAGCTTTCTCTACAAATAGGTGACACGGTGCACATCTTGGAAACGTATGAAGGTGAGGATACATTTTGATGTCATTTATCTTATTGTTGTGGGCAGTTGGCACACTTTTTCAGTGCCTAATGGGCAAAACATTGCCCTGTGACAAAAGTATGGGTGTCATAGTCCTTTCTCATATGGTCAGTGTTCATAGGAGATGCATGGCATTTCAGGTCAGGGCAGTCAGGGCGACTAGCTGTTACAGAAATCATATTTCATTTCTATGATTGTGAAACGAAAAGGTCCCAGTTTTACCTCTGAAATACTTGGCTGAAATGATTGTTTCAGTTAAAAAACTCATTGGTGGCTGCTGCTGCTGCTTTTTTGCAAGTATGTGTAAATGTTGATGGTTACTCACTGCCTACTTGAAAGAAAAACCACTGAGATGATTTCACCCTGTCTCTTTGATGTGAGTTGGTGAGCTCTGCAATACTCAGATTGTCTAACAGTGTACCTCAGAGGAGCCCAAATGGTCATTTCTGAATTATCTTTGCTTTCCTTTTTTTTAATCTATGACCCTAATTTCTTAGGGGTGAACAAAGATCATCACAGTTATGTGGTATGTGGTCCCATGGAGCAATAGTTTTAATAATCCAGTAAGTATGCTGTTGGTGACAGCGGCTTTCTGATGGCCTTAGTTTCTCAGGCAATTGGTTTTCCTGTTCAGGGTTTTGTGAATGATTTGAAGAGGCCATTTTTGGGTTGATGCCACTCTTACTGTTGCAGAGAAAGGGAGCCGGGACTGGCGTGCTTTTGAAAAATTCCACAGGTCTGGAATTGTCGTGAGAGTGCGTTCTAGCATTGGTGACTTTATTTCCTGCTTGAAGGAGTGATTCCATGGAGCATGGGAATAAAAAGTGTTTGAAATTCATTATTTCAGCAGCAGGCTTGCTTTGAAATAGGGCCGAGTGAGACCCTCCCAAGCAGGATGGAATGGAGGCAGAGGCAGAAAATGCAGAGATCCCTGAGGTAAAGAAAAGCAGCATTTGCCGGCAAGTTGATCTGACTCATGGCGACCCCGTGTGTATGGCAGAGTAGAGCAGCACGCAGTAGGGTTTTCAGTGGCTCCTGAAGTCATCCATACATTGCATTTCAGAGTGGGTCTTTGTGATCCTCTCTGTACAAGAGTGAAGGGGCTGTGGGCTTCTGCAGCCCCGGTAAGCTGTGACTGACAGAGCCCCTGGTAGACACCTGAGAAGCACAAACGCGTTAAGCACAACCTCACATAGACTTTATTTCCCGTTGACTTACGTGAACTTGACTCCCACTCCATTTGCACCCTTTACCCTTCAGATGGCCTCTTACGGGGAGGGGTGGGGGGAGAAGTCTGGGCTATTGGAGTGTGCCTGGAAGCAGACGTCATGGCGCCCCCCTGACCCGGCCCCTAAGTGAATGAGCAGTTGTGTGGGTGCCTCTGCTTGTCTGCCATTTTTACTTGGACTTGGATTTTCTTACCTGCTCCATGTTGCCAATGGCTGAGAGGAGACTGAGGGCAATTAGGGCTTGAGGGTCCAAATCTCAGCTCAGACAGTTGTGGGTCTGTGCGGATGGGCCCTTCTACCTCCTCGTGTGCCCCTGGCTCTGGGAGATGAAGCACAGTAGGGTCACTGTGGAGTGCTCAACAAGTGGGGTGCCGGGGCCTGGGATGCAGGCGTGGCTGCCCTTGCTCTTGGCGTCATAACCAAGCATTGAGATCCTTAGGCGCTCACTGGGCCTTGGTATGCATTTAACTTTTTCATTTGACTTTTTGGCCGTCAGCATCATAGAGTCTTCAAACCAAACCCAACTCCATTGCTGTTGAGTTGATCCTGACTCGTGTGTGTATCCTACAGGACAGAGTACAGCTGTGCCGTGGGGTTTCCTCAGCTGTCATCTTTATGAGAGCAGATCGCCACCACGCCTTTCTCCTTGGAGGTGTTGGGTGGGTTCGAACTGCCAACCTGTTGGTTAGCAGCCAAATGCTTAACCACTGTGCCACTGGGCTCCTTAAAGAGTCTTCTTGAGCATTTCTTTCTAGGCTGGTCAGTCTTCCTAGATTTCCATGAAAATAATTCTGGTCTTTGTAAAGGAGCCTTTGACATAAAATGAAATCCCCGTCTTCGACAACTAACTTTTTGGTGATAATCGTGATCTAGTCAGAGAAATGCAGTTGGGAAGGAATTCTGATGGGGAAACTTGGTGACTTTATTATCATATCATCAAGTAAAGCATAGAATGATTTACTTCTGTCTGTTGCTTCTACTTTTTCCTCCAGTTCTATTTAAATTTCATGGATTGTATTAGTGTTTGGTGTGTTCTTTTCTTTTTTCTTTCTTGTCCGTCTTCCTCCCTCTATTCCTCTGGAAAATTTATTTCTGTTTGTCAAGTTTACTTCTTGTTTTCTCTGTGGTCCTTTTCAGGGCATTCTGGGCTTGCTCCAGGAAATATAATTTCTAGATGACCACTCTCTATTTTATTTTAAGGCTCCTCCCAGTGCTGGTGAATTTCTGCCCACTCATGAAGGCTTGGTGCGGAGAATAAAGAAAAAGAACTTGACAGATCACTGTGCACTTGGGTCATCCTCAGGGGTCATTGGAGGCAAGCCCCTGCCATCACGCAGGTGTCCATAATCAACAGCCCAGAGAGGCGAGCTGAGGTCACAGGTGTTTAGTCAGTGACCCTTGTGTGCCCACGATGTCCTAACCCTGCCACTGCTCATTTCCAGAGGATCCCAGGGGCTGTCACGCTGGTCCCTGACTCATGGTGACCCATGCACAATGGAACGGGACACTTCCTGGCCTTACCCGCCCCCCATGGGTGTGCTAAGATCCTCAGTTTTCATTGGCTGGATTTTGGAAGCAGATCAGCAAGCCTCTCCTTCTAGTGTGTGGTAGTCGAGGTGTGTTGTACGTGAAGGGAATTTCAGCCATGGCACAAAGATTGGGAAGTCATTCTTATGATTAAACCATAGCATTTGAACTGAATTTATTCAGAATTTTCAAAGTGATCATTTATATCTTTTTTCTCCCGAAATGCACCTTCATGCTTTTCCTGACTGCCTACACATGCTTTCTTGTCAACAGAAGGTCTTGCCCAGACTGGAAAAGGTGGACATGTTGCTAAGAGTTCCATTTCAGAACTAACTCCTGAGCCCTGCAGGCCAGCTTGCAACCCAGCAGGCATCCTTAGCACCTTGTCCCAAGGCTCCTGGCCCGTTGGAGGAGTGCTGCTTCTTCCCACAATGACTGAGTTCCTCCCCATATCTCCTCCAGCCACGGGCTGGCCCCGCTTGCAGGACAGTGCACTGTGACAGCTGTTGGCTCTTTGTTCAGAATGCCAGGGGTGCTGTGTTCTTCAGCTTTTCCACTTTGACTGCTGAGTGGTGGTGTAGGGATGAAGTATTTAACTTTCTATTTCTCTGATTATTGCAGTGTTTCAGCATCTCTGCACACATCTGTTTTGGGTTTTCTCTTCTCTACACTGTTTATAAAATTTGCTCATTTTTTACTTGGTTGCTATTTTTTTTCTTGGTTTATAGTATTTCCTTGTATATTCTAGGGCACTAATCCCTTGTCTGTTTTAGAAAAGAGAGGCCATGTTAATGCTGAAAATGCAGGAAGGATATAGTCACAGGACCCAGAAGGGTCCCTTCAGTTGAGTACATGCAGCTTGTGACCTTCCCCCTTTTCCAGTTTGCTTTCTGTGAACACTTGTCACCAGTGGCCTCTGATGAGCTGCTGAACTAGGCAATATGTCTATCAGGAGATAGTCCTTCCAGCGCAGGGGAAGTCATGGCACTCTGTATTTGTGGCACTACCTGATCAATCTATTGAGTCCCATGTGGAGAACAGGAAGTGGGTCGCGTTGGTGGAACTGGGTCTTTGAGTATCTTTTGCAAGGATCTGGGAATCTCTGTCTTCTGGTGTTTAGACATCATCTGTTTAATAATCCTTGGAGCAATGAGGAAAGCCTCTTTGCTTTCTGGTCCATAATTACCCTTCCATCCCTGGTTGGCAAAATAATGACATTCAGGAGGGTTGGAGGGCAGATTCTGTAACATTGTCCCTTTTCAGTTCTTTTGTGCTACCTTATGCATCCCTGGATTTTGAAGTTTGACTTTTGATGGTGTACACAAACCCAGTAATTGTTATTTTCTGGGAATTTCCCCAACTTGCACTTTCCAGGAGCTGCCCATAGTTCTCTGATGGGGTCCTCTTGCTCCTGTGGGCACAGTTGGAGTTTGTCTCTGAACTTTGGTAGACTTCTGGAAATGGAGTGGCCCAGAGTGACTTCAGATGTGTGGGACAAGGAAGCATCTATCTGACGTTGAGCAGTGGCAGAGTCGTTGGGAGACTAGGCTCCCTGGCATTTGCAGGACAAGCCACTGCTCTCAGCCGGGTGGGAGGTACCAAGGATGTGGTCAGGCCTGGTTCATGGTTGCAAGGGCTCTTCCCTTGAAGAAGCATGTAATCAATGCTGACAGTTCTCCTGTGCCCTGCTTTTGGCTCTTGCTTATTTCTTTTCCTCACCCCATGGAGGGGATGGGACCTTGAGTCTAGGCCAGACCCCAAGGGGGTAGGTGGGTCCATCCCTGGCCCTTATGCTTCCTGTTGGGGACCTCTGTGTCACAGGAGGCTTTGTGAGATCCAGCTGCTTCAGGGCAGAGCTCCTCCGGATTGAAGAGGGAGGGACGTGAGCTCTCAATGGGTTTTCTGTTATGGGGCAGTGCTTGATGATCAAAGAATGCTGGTATGTGCACTTGGCAGTGACCCTGACCCAAATCAGACAGAGGGAGAGATAGGATAATGTAGGGAACAAGGAACCTACTTGGGGTCGGTTGTCAAAAGAACAGGAACTCTTCTTGGAACTGTGTGCTTCTTAATTTCAAATTTCCCGGCTTCTAGGCCAAGTACAGAAAATGGAGAGGAAGGAGCTGGAGATGTGTGAAGTTTACCAGCCATGCTGAATGTTCCCTTTGCAATGCTGCCTGTGAAACCCCTCAGTTATCTCCAGAGTATTAGGTTTGTTGCTGGTGACAGTGCTGGTGACGTCACTGATCATGCAAGAATATGAGTTCCAACCAGCACAAAGGTCTGGCTGTGGCCCTGTTGTGTCTCCTCCGACTAACTGTTTCCACTTTGTGTTTGTTTAGGGTGGTACAGAGGCTACACCTTAAGAAAAAAGTCTAAGAAGGTAAGTCCTCCTTTCTCTGAAACAATGTGCATGTCCCTTCATCAATCAAACTGTGACAGGAAGTCATTTTCATCATCTGTGTTTAAGAGTTTTCCTTACTTCTCTATTAATTTTAAAAATATATGGGTTGAAACTTGGAACTGCCTTGAATTATTTCCTTCTGAGCAGAAATTGCAGGCTCGTTCCTGTGAGTGAATTGCTGGGCAGTGACGTCCTAAAAGGTGGCTTTGTCTTCCCTTCCTGAGAAAATTTCGCATCCTGCTTAGACAGTGGGTGTGAGAGGATGGAGGGTAATGTCTTCAGAGAAAAAGAATCCTGCTCGTGGTCAGTGGTATCCCTGATGGTCACTTAACAAGTTCACCGAGCTCATCACGCTTTTTCCCTCTTGATCAGAACGGTTTTAAGCTTTATAGGTCAGTTGCAAAAGAAAGAGCTTTTGCTTTTCAGGGCCATTTGTGTGCGTGGTCATTCGAGTTTCTGAAATGAGGACGTGTAATTACACCCTGGCTCACTGTGGTGGACACTCCCATACACAGTTGTCTTGTGGCTCTTCCATTCTTAGCATCACACGACCTAATGATGGCTCTTGCTTTTCGTGCTGTGATGTTGAGATTTTGAAGGAATGTCCATTTGAAGCTGTGGTTAGGCAGTCCACAGTAACTTAGGCATTTTAATATCTGATTATGCTGGACAGATGGTTCATTTCACTTCTGTTTCTTTAATTTGCCTCTCATTATCACCTCATTGGGCTGGATTCTCGTGGTGGCCCTGATCCTGTAACTAAGGCTTCTGATGTCCAGGGCTTTCCTATGCTGCTGTCCCCAGAGCCACAAGGCTGTGCCAGGTGGGGAAGAGCTCTGAGGGCTGGAGCTGCTCACTCTGCGGCAGGGCAGTCACTTGGGTGAGAGTCTGGCTGATCCCCATCCAGTCTTCCTCAGTCAAGGTCAGATACTCTCTGTGAGACCATGTTAGGACTGTTGGCCAGCCATGTCTGCAAAGGGAGCAGGAGCTCCTCCCCCATCCCTGCCTTGCTCCAACACCCAGAACTGGTCTGTGCTTCTCTACAAATCCCTACCTATCCAGTGGCCCGGAGCCTTGAGGTTTGGACAAGGTGGATGTCACGTTGATGGTGGAGCAGTGTTCTAAGGAAAGCCCTGTCTTCACATTGGTCCTATTCAGTAATCAAGGATGTGTTCTCCCTTCACATTGGTCCCGTCTGTAATCAAGGAAGTGCCTTCACAATGACTCCCGTTTGTAGTCAAGGATGTGTTCTCACAGATGAATCCTCAAGTTTTATCTGTAGAAGCCACAGTGGAATACTTTGGTCAAAAAGAGATGAGGATAGTGGACTACTGTCCCCGTCACCTGCCCATCCTTTCATCTTCATGTATGACAGACCTGCCGATGACTTGTTGGACATGCCCCCTACCATGCTGTTCATTTTCCCTCAGTGCTGCTTTGGGATATTGCATTTGCTCCCGCTGTCCCCTGCCACTCGTCTGCCACATTGTCACACTGTGGTGGTTGACGTGTCACTGTGATGCTGGAAGCTGTGCCATCAGCATTTCAAGTCCCAGTAGTGTCGGCCATGGTGAACAGGCTTCAGCAGACCGTCCAGATGAAGACAGACCAGGAAGAAGTACCTGGCACTCTATCTCTGAAAAAAACTTGGCCAGTGAAAACCTTTAGAATCGCAGTGCAACGTTGTCTGATTCGGTGGCACAAGGTGAGCTCCTCCAGTTGGAAGGCACTCAAAATACCTCTGGGAAAGAGCTGCCTCCTGAAAGTCAGCCTTAATGGCGTGGGTGGGAGTAAAGCTTTCAGGACCTTCATTTGGCATGTCTCAAAACGAGAAGAAACAATTGCCAACATCCATTAATAATCAAATCTAAGAAAATTGGAAGTTGTCAAAATGGAATGGAATATTTGAAGATTGATATGCAAGGCATTAAGAGAGGTAAAGTAGACTGCTATTGGCCATTTGGAATCAGACAGTCATATGATCTACTATGCCGAGAATGACAAATTGAGGAGGAATAGTATCAAAAAGAATATTTCAAGGTCTAACCTGAAGTACAACACTGTCAGTGATAGGATGAGAACCATACACCTACAAGGAAGAGCAATTAATATGACTGTTATTCAAATTTACTCATCAACCACTCATGCCAAAGACGAAAAGTTAAAGATTTTACCAACTTCTGCAGTCTGAAATTGATCAAACATGCAAAGAAGATGCACTGATCATTACTGGTGATTAGAATGTGAAAGTTGGAAACAAAGAAGGATCAGTAATAGGAAAATGTGGCGTTCATGGTAGAAAGGGGACACCAGAGATGTCAGCATTTTGCAAGGCCAATAACCTATTCATCAGAAATACCTTTTTTCCAACAACATAAATAGTGACTATATGCATGGGCCTTGCTGTATGTAACACACAGGAATAAAACTGACTGCATCCATGGAAAGATGTGATGGAGAAGCTCAATATCATCAGTCAGAACAAGGCCAAGAGTTGAGCATGGAGTAGACCATCACTTGGTCATATGCAAGTTCACATGGAAGCGAGGATGGTGAGACTTTGTCTCCTGTATTGTGGACTTGTTATCAGGGATCAGTCCCTGCAGAAGGACATCATGCTTGGTAAAGTAGAGGGTCAGCAAGAAAGCGGAGGACTCAATGAGATGGACTCACATGGTGGTTGCAATAATGGGCTCAGATATGGCAATGGTTGTGAGGGTTGTAAAGGACCATGCTTCGTTTCATTCTGTTGTACATACAGTCGCTACAAGTCAGAACCGGCCCAACGGCATCTGCCAACCACCACCACCACCACCGTCTTCTCCAGTTTTGGGTCTTTCCCATCTCCCCAGTGCTTCCCTGAGCCACAGTCCTTCCTGTCCCACCTTAGAGTGCCCTGCCATTGCAGCTCATTGACACATCAGAGCTGAATGGGGCATAACCCTTTTTCTGTCTTGCTCCCATGTGAGAGACCTGCTTCAGTACTGAGCAGGCTTCACGGGAGCGTCTAGACTGACTAACACTTCCTGGAAGGAAAGGCCCGATGGTCTGCTCTCCCAATCAGCCAATCTGTGCACTGGTATTGGAAATACTGGCGGCATAGTTTCTGCCTTGTAGCAGTAGCAAGCCACCACAGTATGATGAGCTGACGACAGGTGGTGGGAGAAAAGTCGGTCCCTCCATACATGTCAGCAGTGTCATGACCCCACTCCTATTCCAGCAGTTTGCAGATGGGGCAAAGTCCAGCCCACCTTCCTGTGGTTTAACAGATGGCCGCAGTCCCTTTGTTTACAGGTTGTGAGGAAATGCCCGTGGTGTCTAGGTAAGTAGTCAGTGGACACATGACCAGCTTTTAATGTCAGTGTTACCATGAGTTTTCGGGAGGAGGTCACTGTTGGAGACCATCATCAAAGTTGTTCTTTCGGCATCAGCTGGTGCTAATCTCCCAGCATCAGGGTCAGCAGTACAAGAAGCTGCGACCTACGGGGAAGACAGAGGAGTTGGTGGAAGTTGTCTTTGGCTGAAATGTGCATCACTTTTCTCTGAAGTCTTCAGCAGCCGCCTGGGTACACTAGCCAAGTGTGTTGCTGTCTCTTGCACCTTTGTGCGTTTTCTTTGATGGGTTGCATCGAGACTTGCAAGAAAGAATGATCCAACCACCCCCACCCTTGCCTCTTTTTTTTTTGGTGGAGGGGAAATAGATGATTGATTTGCAATCAATATTCATATTGATGATACTAACGACTGTCTTCTTTTCCTCCAAAAGGGTATATTTCCTGCTTCATATATTCATCTTAAAGAAGCAATCGTTGAAGGAAAAGGGTGAGTGTGTGTGTGACGTCTGAACAGAGACATGCAGTGAATCCATGTGGCCCTCCACGCTTTGTGTGGCTGTGATAGTAGAGGGGAATTGCCTGTGGCATGACTGGAGTTTCCAGGGGAGGGAGAGACTAACTGAGAGCTGTGAATGACATGGTTTTCGCTCCTTGACCTGGAGGTCGGAGGCCGTGTTTGGAAGCCCTGGTGCTCTGGCTTCCTCTGTGGGCCATCCTGTGAGGCAGAGGTCCTGCACCCCTGGGTCTGGGTCCGTTTTCTGGAAGGCTCTTCCTGCTGCGACACAGTGGCATTGAAGCAGCAGTTGTCAAATGAGGACACGTGTGAATTTCCTCTCTGTCTAATTATGATGTGTGTGTCTTAGGGGTTATCAAAGTGAAGTATAGGATCCTTCAGAGACATTTGCCAAACAGCGCCCATTAGGAGGAACGGCAAATGGATGAGCAGGTGTGAACCGGAAAGAGGGAGCCTGAGAACGTTTGCCTTCTTTTTCAGTCTCTGCTGCACCTTCGTACTCAGTTAAATATGTAAATGATAAAATTACTAATCATATGATCACTACATAATGACATCTGTGGCTGATTGCAAAATTGCCTTCCCAAGCACTGTACTTGAATGTGCAAGCAGGGCCAGTGAGCAGGGCTAGGTGGGGTTCTGTGGTGCCAATATGCAGAATTAAAACGAAGAAAATCACTTACGGGCGTAACCGGGATGGCCTGCAATCTGGCTTCCACCCCCGACCCCCATCCAGATAAAGTACTTTATGTGCTAAATTTCCACAGGGAGAAAGAGAAGCTTTGCCTTATGAAATTTTCATCCTATTTGGAAATAACTGGAATACAGTGTGCATTGCATGTGTTTTATATCTGCATCGGAAGCCTGACATAAGCCAGGTTGTATAAGATTGAATCTTTCTTAACAAATGCCTTGATGTGTAAAAAAAGTCGACTGTGTGAGAAATGTACAAGAACGGGGAAGCATCATGATAGAGCGAGCAGAGGTGACGTTCATCCTCAGGAAGTAAAGGGAGCCACACCCAGGCAGACCAATCATGCGGCCTTGCTCTCACCTGGCCACACCCTGCTGCTCCCACCAAATCTGATTGCCTCGCCACTCCCTCCTGTAAAGACTCTGCTGCCTTCAGACCTGATGGCTGCTGTCCTCTGCTTTTCTTTTGGCCTCCAGATACCTGGGAATGTCCACCTTCCCCTTCTGTCTTCTGGTCCTTCCTCCTTTCCCATGTGGGTCACTCTCCCATCTACACCACTCCTTGCTCCTTGCTCTCAGAGTTTATCATTGTCTCTCTCTCTTTACATGGTGTCTCTCTCTCACATGACATCTCTCTTGTATGGTGTCTCTCTCTCACATGACATCTCTCTCTCACATGATGTCTATCTTGAATGACGTCTCTCTCACATGGTGTATTTCTTACTTGATGTCTCTCTCGCATGGTGTCTCTCACATGATATCTCTCTTGTATGGTGTCTCTCTCTCACATGACATCTGTCTTGTATGGTGTCTCTCTCACGTGACATCTCTCTCACATGATGTCTATCTTGAATGATGTCTCTCTCACATGGTGTCTTTCTTGATGTCTCTCTCGCATGGTGTCTCTCTCACATGATATCTCTCTTTTGCATGATGTCTCTCACATGGTGTCTTTCTCTCAGATGACATCTCTCTCATTGTGTCTCTCTCTTGCATGATGTCTCTCTTGCCTGGTGTGCCTCTTTCACAGTTTCTTTCTCTCATGGTCTCTTGCAGGGTCTCTCTCACAGAGTCTTGGTCTCATGATCTCTGTCTTGCATGTCCTCTCTTGTGGTCTCTGTGATGTATGCTTTCTCTCTGGCAGGGTCTCTCTCTTGCCCTCTCTTTTGTGCATGGTCTCTCTCTCTCTCTCTCTCTCTCTCATGCATGTTCTCTCTTTTGTGCATGCCAACTTGCATGACCTCTGTCTTGCAGAGTCTCCCTTTTGAGATGACCTCTGTTGTTCTCCTATCTTCAGTTCTTCCCTTTCTGTGGGCATTGCTTGAATGAGCTCTCCAGCCCCGACTTCTCTCTTGAGGTCTAGTTTGATTTTCCAGGGCCTGGTAACTGAAAATGTCACTTCCACTGGCTGAGCAGCCTCTTGTCCCTCTCAGTCTTGCAGCTGCTCTGACTGACATCCTTTCCCTTGGTTTTATCAATGAGACAGGCATCTGCTGGGTGGGTATGTTGCTGATATCCCGACAGGGTGGCAAGGTGGTTACAAAGATAACACAGACAGTGAGATCAAATGCTTTAGAGTGGTTTGCTTGTGAATGCCAGGGACAGGTCAGGCCTAGCAACATGGAGGAGAGTAAGAAGGAACCAAAATTGAAGCCAGGCTTTGGCTTATGGAGAGAGACTGTTATCTGCTTGAGAGCTGGGGGCTAATGGAGCTGCAGCTTCTCGTAGCCACTGTGAGAAGCCCAGCGTCATTGGCAGGGAACTTAGGATCTATAAGATGAAAACAAACCAGTTGCTGAGGAGCTGTATTCATACTGAGCTGGAGAACTTTATTCCCAGAGGCTTTGATGGGTGACCTCAGAAAGTGTAAGGAATAACTTTTCATCAGCATCCTTACAGCGAAGCCTGGTGACAAACTAGGCAGGGCTGTTTTCACAACCACGTCCCTTAATAAACGCTGATGACCTCCCACCTGAGGGTAATTCCTAAAAGCAGTTGTGTGGGGGTGGCTTGGGTGTATGCCTCCCTTCGACACCTGGTCCCTGCTGTTCAGGGTGGCACATGCTGCTAGAACTTTCCACAGAAACTGGCTTGCTTCTAGGGATTCCATTGTTTTTTTCTTGGGGACCCCCTACCAATCCTAGGACCCTGTGGGTCTGAACCCCAGTTGTGAGCCATGGCCAGCATCTTTCCCACTGATCTGGGCTTCATGCAGAATCAGAGAGTGTAGGTGATTCCAGTTCTGTGTCCCTGAACATTCCATGCTGGTTGGAGTCTTGTCTGCTGAGGACACACAGATGACCTCTGAGGCCAAGTGGCCTAACTTCACAAGCCACAGGTTCGGTCTCTGCCCCAGTCCCAGACATTCAGAGTCCTATTTACCACAGAGGCCGATCCAGAGCATTAGTCAAAGAGTCACTCTTTGAGGTGGCAGGAAGGGTAAGCAAGCAGATAGTCAGAGGTGGGACTGGAGAGGGTACCTGTGGGCTTTAGAAAGCTGTAAGTAAGCTCTCTGATACTCCAGCAAGGAGAACTATGTCATGTGTGTCATATAGTTAAGTCTTGTGCATGGTGGAGGTGTGAAAATGATCTTGACCCAGACTTGCATCTCACACCATCTTGGCTATAATTTACAGCCTCTATAGGTAGGTACACAGAGCATGAATGTTCTTTGCAAACCTTGACCTTCAGAAGACTTTGGTATGGTATCATTCACCTCCTTCATCTTGCCTTGACATGCAGGATCACGTATGAACGTTCTCAAGTCTGAACAAACACTATTTGTCATTCTTAGGTGGATGTGTTATATGCCTGGACAATCTTTTATTTGTATGATGTCTTCCCATTTGTGTTAGTATTGAATTCTGTGTTATAAACGAGGAACGTGCAAGGCATAGGTCTCAGTGGTTCATGGAGCTGTGGACTGAGATGTTCTTCCTTCTCTTCATCCCAGGCAACATGAAACGGTCATTCCAAGTGACCTCCCGCTCATCCAAGAAGTCACCACGACGCTCCGGGAGTGGGCGGCCATCTGGCGGCAGCTCTACGTGGTGAGAAAGGGGGATTCTAAGTCGGTGCTGACAGCAGAGAGCGGGCTCTTTGGCCTTTGGAGAATGTTCTTTTCTCAGGAAGCTCCAGGGGCAAGGGTCTTAGTCAGGGTGAGGAAAGCAATGTGGGGGCCATGTGCCCTTTGACCTGCTTTCTGTGCTCTGGGGGTGGGTGGACCAGCTGTGTCAGTGTGATAAAGTGCCCTGGACAGGAAGGGGTTGTGGAGTTCGCCTCAGTTCCTGGCCCCTGGAGGAGATTAGGTGGTGATTGTGTTGACGTAGCTTCAGGTTTTATGTTTTGATTGGGAAAGCGCACATCTGCCTTTTCACTCGGTAGGTGCCCATTTCCAGATGTAGTAGAGGGTCATTGTTCCTATTTTTGTGATTGGTTAGCTGCAGGTAATGCCTCTCGTCATTGAGGAAAAGGACATCATCTATTTGATTTAACTGTATTTGTGACAGTGGTGGGGAGATATTTGACATTCCAGCATCAGGTGCCATTGTCGGGTTCTCCTGATAATGGGAGTAGTCTTATTATTGCGGAGAGGTTGAGGCTCTGAAGTCGTCCATCTCCTGTTCCCTCAGGGCATTTCTGTGCACATGCATTCATGTTTGCAGAAGATTACCTTTTGTTAAGCTTCTGTCTCTATTCAGTGTTGATTTCTCATATGCTAATGTTTCCAGCACTGGCAGGGGCTGCTCTGGAAGGAAGGCAGCGTGTTAATTTCTCGCAGGCGGAGGAAACTTTTAAAGTCCTGCAGCTGCTGGCTGGCCAGGCTCGTTGTTTCCGATCATACAGTGGTTCCCAGAAATGCAGTGTAATAAGCGGTTGCAGTAATTGTTCATCAAACGCACTGAGAAACCTAAAAGCGTAACGTTAGCCATGAATGTTTTGTGTAAATCTGGCAATTTCATAGTCGGTGTGTCATGTACAACTTAGCAATTTTTAAACATAAAACAATCAAAACAAACAGGAGTTGATGCTGACTAATACATCAGTGGACCTGGCTTTGGCCGTACGGGTCTGGAGCACACAGTCCTAAGGGTCACTGTGGTTTCTTTTTCCAAACTTGTTTGCTTCTTGGGGACTCCCATTGTTTGATGGGAGCAAAGCCAAGGTAGATGCCTGGAAACTCTTTATATGGAAGCTTTGTCCTTCTCTGCGGTTGTGGACAAATGAGTGAGAGTTAAAGGACGTTATGTGTTCGATGCTGATTTAGGGGACCGGGCAAAGAGGATTTGTAAGAGGGAAGTGAACATAATTTTGGAATAAATCATTTATTTTGATCGTTTGGTTAAAATAGTGGCGTAATATTATGAGGAATAGGTTAGGGGTGTAAAATAGCCTGTTAGGATATTATGATGGGGAGGTGGGATCTTCAAATACTGGAAAGAGTGTCATGGGGGTGGTTTTGATATGTAGCCCAACAACCAAACCAGTTGTACTGAGTCGTTTCTGACTCACGTGACCTTGTGTGTAGAGTGGGACTGCTTCATAGGGTTCTCACGGCCGAGACCCTTCAGAAGCTGGTTACCAGACCTTCCTTCCAAGGTGTGTCTGCGGGGGGGGGTTTGAACCAGCAACCTTTGGGTTAGGAGCTGTGCACTTCACTGCTTGCCCCACCGGGGAGCCTCTGATACATAGACAAAACCATACCAAACCCACTGCCATGGAGTTGGACCCGACTCATAGCGACCCCTCCTTGGGTTTCCGAGGCAGTATCACTACGGAAATAGATTGCCCAACCTTCCTTCCAAGGAGTGGCTGGTGGGTTTGAACTGCCAGCCTTCTGGTTAGCAGTCAGATGCCTTAGGCACTAAGGCACCAGATCCCCTTCTAATACGTAGAAGGAAAGTTATTTTAAAAAGCAGCAGTGAGCACATTTTAGTCTTTTGAAGGAATTAGGATGGTTAGAATGTTATCAAATTAGGCTCCACCTAGATTTCTTTTCTCAGAAAGGAAAAAAGTAACTCTAGTCTACTTGATCAATTTGCATTCCTGTGGTTGGAAAATGGCTGCTTTTCTCTGTCCTGTCAGTCCCATCACAGCACAGAGACAATAAGAAGCGTGGATTGTGGGTCCTACCTGCATCTTCCTTTGGTGTGAGGGAGGCAGGAGCTCGCAGCGGGAGATCTGGATCCTGGCAGGAGTATCTGTGTGTGCTGTATAGACAGCTGCGCCGAGGAGCCCCCTGGGCTGTTGGTCTCCATACCTCAGCTGAGCGCAAGGCTTAGGGGCTCAGTTTCACAGTTTGTGAAAATGGTCCAGGGCACAGGGTATTCTCAAGCTGGTAGGCATGTGGTGGGATTCAGATCTTCAGGCTCAGAATAATTGCTTGTGTTTTAAAGGTGACATCTTTGAACCAGATGCTGGAAGCTCGTGAGGCGGGCTTTGAGGTTCAAAGTCACCTCCTGCTGTGGTCAGCTTCTTGACTCAGAGGTACCTACTCTGGAGTGTTGGACAGCATGTTGGGGTTACATACTACTTTCTGTTCTAACTTTTTAGCATTTCATAGCACCTGGTCCCACATAATGTTCTCCCGTTCTGTGCCCAAAACATTGGATGTTAATTAAATGCCATGATGTAAAATACATGCCAGATAAGCATTGAAAAGGAAAAATCCACCCATCCCATGCTATTTTACATTCTACACAATGCTACGTTACACGTAAACCCTGACAAGCGTCTTTTTTTCCCTGTGTAGCAAGACAATCGGGAGATGTTCCGAAGTGTACGGCACATGATCTACGACCTCATTGAGTGGAGATCACAGATTCTTTCTGGAACTCTGCCCCAGGATGAGCTCAAAGAGCTCAAGAAGAAGGTGACAGCCAAAATTGACTATGGAAACAGGTTGGTTTGTTTGAGAGATGACTTCATGCTTAACTTGCCCATGGAAATAGCATCACCGTAAAACTTGATGCAACCTAAATCCTATTTTATTATAAAACAAAATTTCTGACATCAAAAACATGGCGTGGCTTTCTTTTTTTAAAAGGATGAGATATTTTCTAGTGGGTTCTGAAAATCAGGAGAGTTTTGCAAGTCATTGCTGAAATGTCTTCTCTTCATCCTTCAGATGATGGACTGAAGTGCTGGGGCCTGGCTAGCTTGTCATTTTCTCTGATCCCATGGGGCCCACAAGGATTCCTCCAACTTTCACTTGGGCTCACAGTGTTCGATTTCTAGTCCAAATGTGGAGTTTCCTTGTACAGTAACAAGCACTGGATTTCTTTCCATAGAGTCCTAAGTCCTGCCAGTTGGAAGGAACATGAGAGGTTATCTCCTTAGACTTTGCCACTAGCTTTAGCAAACAAAAATATACCATAAATCCAGTTGTGCTGGAGTCGTCTCCAACTCATGGCGACCCTGTGCGTGTCAGAGGGGAGTTTTCAGTGGCTGGTTTTTCACGAGTAGGTCACCAGGCCTTTCTTCCAGGGGCATCTGGGTGGATCAAACCTCCAGCCGTTTGGTTAGCAGCTGAGTGCATTAACTGCACCAATCAGGAGCTCCAAACAAGAATACAGCCCCGTTAAACCTGAGTTTCAAATAAACGAGTAACTGCTTTGTGTAGCAGAACTCTGGCCTCTACAGGCCGTGGGTAGTGGCTGTCCACCCAGTGCTACATCAGTGCCTTTTGCTCCCCCGTCCCCCTGCCCGTGGAGCTGTGCACTGCAGTCAACCAAGTGTTTTCTGATACTGAAAGGAAATTGGCTTCTCTGACCCTAACTCTGCCAGGCTTTGTTGCCATAACAAGGCCACACCCCTTCTCACCTGCTCACTGTTTGGTTGTTTGTATAATGTCAGAGCTACAGGAGCCTGTGAAACTTGTCGGTTACAAGATACCCACATGCCAGCCTGTATCTGAATCACTTGGAGACCCTTCAAAGTGCAGAATCATGGGCTCCACTCCTTAAGATGCTGGTTTGTCTGGGATGTTGGTGGCAACTCTCAGTTCTTACAGATACTTCTGGATTATGAAGCCCTGGTGGCGCAGTGGTTAAGTGCGTGGGTGCTAACCAAAAGGTTGGCTGTTGGCTGTTTGAACCCACTCTCCGCGCTGTGGAAGAAAGATGGGTCAGTGTGCTTCTGTCAAGATTTTCAACCTTGGGAACCCTGTGGGGCAGGTCTACTCTGTCCTATATGGTTGTTTTGAGTCAGAATCAACTTGATGACAATGGATTTGGTTTTGGTTGGACTGGGTTATGAGAGACAGTGTTTTGGAAGACATCTGATGATGTCTGACCCCCTCCTTTACACACTGGGACGTGGAGCTCAGATATTGGAAGAGATTTGCCTCCAGTCACTCAGCTTAAAGGAGAATTAAAGAAATGTCATGTAGAGTGAGAATCTTTTGCTTTCTGCTAATTCATATTTTCAAGAGTGAAGTTTCTTAAAGTAACACTGTTCATACAAAGTTTGGATTAGAAAGGCTGCAGGACAAGGTTTGTGTTTTCTTCCCGAAAGCCAGAGACTTCTGGGTACAGGGACTTAGCCATCATTGAAGTGAACCCACTTCCAGGCCACCTGCTGCAAAAGCCCACCTTTTGGTGCTTTGATTTCATTTGTTGTTGGAGCATCGTATTTTGAACTGATGTTCAGGGAACACTTGCTTACTGTGGCTGCAGGAAGCTACGCAACACGTTATGCTGTGGAACAATCTCATTAAGAAGAGAAGTGTTTCCAAAGTGATTGACTACTTTGATAGGCGATACAATCTTTAATAAGACAGTTTTTGCCATGAATCTTAAGGCTATGCCATAATTTCTTTGAAGCCTAATGCTTTGTGAGTATTTCTCTAATCTTTCCTTCAGAAAACAAAATCAAACCACAGTGTTGCAGTTTGGTTGTGTCATGGCTTGAAGTGTGTCCCCCCAGCGTATGTGTCAACTTGGCTAGGCGTAAATCCCAGTGCCACGGGGTTGTCCAGCTGGTGTGCTCTGCTGTGATTGTCCTCGATGTTGTGCCCACCACCCACCCACTGCCATCGAGTCAGTTCTGACTTAAAACCACCCCCATTGCATTTCCAAGGTTGTAAATCTTTATGGAAGTAGATTGCATTCTCTTCCTCTCACAGAGCAGCTGGTGGGTTTGAACAGCTGACCTTCTGGTTAGCAGCCAAATATCTTACCCGTTAGGCCACCAGAGCTCCTTTATATGTTGTGATACCAAAAAACCCAATCCAATCCACTGCCATTGAGTTGATTCTGACTCATAGCGACCCCCATTGGGTTTCCAAGGTGGTAAATCTTTATGGAAGTAGATTGCCCCCATCTTCCTTTTGTGGAGCTGGTAGGTTTGAACCATCAACCTTGTGATTAGCAGTCAAATGCCTTAGGCACTGTGCCACCAGAGCTGCTTCTATGTTGTGATAGTATGTAATTATCCTCTGTTTTGTGATGTGTTGTAAATTCTAACCTCTGCACATTAGCGACACAGGATGACTGTACAACCTTACATGAGGGTGTGACTGAAGTCACGCTTCTACGCAAGTCACACCCTTATCCTCCCAAGCTATTGTTGTTGTTGTTGTTATGTGCCATCAAGTCGGCCCTGACTCATAGCGACCCCTCCTTGGGTTTCCGAGTATCATTATGGAAGTAGGATTGCCCAACCTTCCTTCTGAGGAGTGGCTGGTGGGTTTGAACCGCCAGCCTTCTGGTTAGCAGTCAAGTGCTTTAGCCACTATGCTACCAGAGCTCCTTCCCAAGCTGTAGTCTTTCTAATCACCTCATATGCATGTGAAATAAGGAAGACTGAGGAGGAATTGATGCACTTGAATTATGTGTTGGTGACGAATACCGACTAGACCTTGGAGCCTGGAGAACAGACACTCCTGTCTGGGAAGAGGTTCGCTTGGAATGCTCCTTAGAGGGGAGGACAGCCAGACTTTGCCTGTCGTGCTTTGGCCAGTTGTCAGGAGGGACCAGTCTCTGGAGAAGGATGTCCTGCTTGGTGAAGTAGAGGGTCAGTGAGAAAAAGGAAGACCCTCAACAAGATGGACTGACCCAGTGCTACAACAGTGGGCTCAGACATGGCGCTGATGGTGAGGATGGTGTAGGGCCAGGCAGTGTTGTGTCTGTTGTATGTAGTGGACTGACTCGACAGCACCTGACAACCACCACCCTTACTCAAGTCACACCCTTGCTTGAGTCACACCTTTTATCTTAAGAGATCAAGTGGAGAGAAGCGGGCAGGGAAGGAGGGCCCTCAGTACCCTGAGAAAGAAGAGCCAGAGTGGAGTGTGTCGTTTGAATCTGAAATCCCTGTGCTGAGAATCTCCTAGATACAGGGAAAGGTGGATGGCAGGATGCATGACCTCCCAGTAACGCCAGGCCCACAGATGCTGAAAGAAGACAAAGACCCTCCCCCAGAGCCAACAGAGAGGGAGAGCCGGCCCCAGTGCTGGTGCCCAGAACTCAGGCTTCTGTTTTCTTGAGCTGCAAGAGAACACATTTCACCTTGTGAAAGCCACCCACTTGTCGCGCTTCTGCTGTAGCCGTGCTGGAGGACTGGGACAGGCTGGGAGATGGGGGATTTGGTAAGATGTTTTGTGTCTTTGTTTTTCTAGCCTTTAGGTGCTCTTAACTTCTTTTTATTTTCCTGGGGGAGGGGTGTGAGATCCGTTTGAGAATGTGAGGGAAGTGATGGATTGTCTCTGTAGAAACATGCATATACATAGTGCGTGCATGCACGCAACAGCACATGTGCACACATGCATGCACACACAGCATGCGTGCATACACACAGCACACACACAGCACTTACACGTGCACACATGCACACACTTCACACATGCACACACAGCACACATGTGCACACATAGCACACGTGCACACATGTATGCACACATGTGCGTGCACATACACAGTGCCTATAACTCAGTGCCAATGAGTCAAATCTGAGTCATAGCTACACCTCCTTGGGTTTCTGAGCAGTATCAGTACAGAAGTAGATTGCCTAGGCTTCCTTCCAAGGAGTGGCTGGTAGGTTTGAAACTCCAGCCTCCTGGTTAGCAGTCAGATACGTTAGGTGCTATGCCACCAGAGCTCCCATAGTGCCCATGGAACACACATATACTAGCACCTCAAATGTGTGCATGCACACACACTTAATATTCACTTACACACATGGTGTGCATGCATCCATAGTGTGTACACACATAATACATATGCACACACACACAGTGTGTGTGCACACACTTATACATTTGCCTTACTTTCCCCAGCATTGCTTTAGGCTTCTGTGGTATTGATCTCTGATGGCATTAAGTTACCGGGGTGTGGTGAGATGTACTTTCACGACAGTCACTCGGTCTTGATCTGGAACTGTGGAACACTGATTGCTGAGAATGGTGTGTGACGTGTCCCCCTGACCTGCCACTTCACGTGATGGCCTGCCTGTGGCATCTGGACACAGTATGGGCTCTGCTGAGAGACTTTTCTGGCTCAGAACCTGGCTCTGGACTTTGCTGGATATTTGATGTTGGACCAGGACAGTACTTTCTCTGGACTTTAGTTTCTTCCCCTGTGAAATGGGTGTGCCAGTCTCTCCTGGCAGGACTAAGGCGAGACTGTCCCTAGGGATGGACACAGCATGTTGTTGTAGGACCAGGGCCTCACGAGTACTGGTTAGTGTGGTCTCTAAGGGCAGCTAGTTCTGCATGGCCTGCTGGACCTTTGGCTTTGGTCTTCTTAAGGGCAGGTGGATGGTAGCTCCACCTGCCCCAAAACTAGTTTGTTGCCTGTCATAGATTGAATTGTGTCCCCTCAAATATGTGACAACTTGGCTGGGCCATGATTCTCAGTGGCTTGGTAGTTGTGTAATGATCCCCCATGATGTGATCCGATGTGATCAGCCAGTCAGTTGTAAGGGGATTAGGGTGGAATATAGCACTCTTACTCAGTCACAGCTCTGATCTGATGAGGGAATTTCCTGGGATGTGGCTTGTATCACCTTTTATCCCACAAGAGATCAAAGGGAAGCACTAAGCAGAGAGGGAGGGGTCTCTGCCATCAAAGAAGAAGAGCTGAGAGGAGAACATGTCCTTTGGACCCAGGGTCCCTGGGCTGAGAACCTCCTAGACCCAGGGGAAGGTTGATGCCAAGCCATATGGAGATCTCCAAGGGATGCTGAGCTTACAGATGTTGAAGGGACACAAGGATCTTCCCCCAGAACTGACACAGAGAAAACGTTTTCCTAGAGCTGGCCCTGAGTTTGCACTTCTAACCTCCTAAACTGCGAGAGAATAAATTTGTTAGAGGCGTCTGTGGAGTATCTGCTTATAGCAGCACTAGAGAACTAAGACAGCCCCATGAACACTGACCCTCTCCTCCTCCCAGCATTGACTGCCCCCGGCAACAGCACTGACTCTTCCTGTGGTCCAGCGTCTCAGATTATTTGCTCAGCATACAGATGGAATAAGTGTGGTGAAAGGATGCAGCCACGACTCATGTCTTTCCTGACTTTAAACCACACGGTGTCCTCTTGTTCTGTTCCAGTGACTGCCTCTTGGTCCCCAAACAGGTTCCCCATGAGCATAGTGAAGTGTTCTGGAATTCCCATTCTTTGCAATGTTATCCATAACTTATTTTGATCCACATAGTCACATGCCTTTGCATAGTCAGTAAAACACAGATAAACTCCTTTCTGGTAGGTATTTTCTGCTTGACTAGAGACTTGCAACCACTTGGTTTGTATCCATGAAGTTCTGAATATTTCTTTCTAGAATTCTTGATTTGGATCTGGTGGTGAGGGATGAAGATGGGAACATTTTGGATCCAGAGCTAACTAGCACAATTAGTCTCTTCAGAGCCCACGAAATAGCATCTAAGCAAGTGGAGGAAAGATTACAAGAAGAGAAGGTAAGCCCAAGCCTGACGTGACCAGGTATAATTGGTGTATGTTTTCCCAGTGACAGTTTGCAACACGGTGAAATAGAAATGATGCTCTGAATTTCCACTATACAATAACCCAAGGAATAGCTCCATAGTAAGTTTCGTGTGATGACAATTGCAGTGCAGCCCAGGAGCAGAACTTTTTGCCAGTGACATGTAAAGATTGGAGGGGTGCTCTCTGTGGCACTGTGCTTCTTCCTGGGAGCCATGGACTTGTTTTCTCACCTGTCAAATGGGAATGATTCTGCATTTTCTCTTTGATGGGGTGGGTGCTGACACGTTGTAAACTTGGTGAGGGTAGGAAACTTCGGTCTTCCTGATCTATCTCATCTCCCATGGCTTTAATGATACAATACATATTTAGAACCTGGTTGACCGACTGAGTCGTCCATTCCTTCTGCAAGTATTTACTGAGCAGCTTCTATGTGTCAGGTACTGGGGACATGATGATGAGTAAGAGACGTTCATGGAGTATTGAGCTTAATGGAGGAACAATGATTAAACAAGTAACTGCACATGGGAGTATGTAGTTACCAGTCTGGTTCATCAACTGGACACTGGCAAGTTTTATATCTCTGAAGACAGGCTCTGTATAAACTGTTAAGAGGTGTGCACATTGCACAAAGTGTTTTTTCCTCTTTTCTCTTGGGGGGGTGCATGTCCTGAAGAACATGAACTGGGTTCACGTCACTGACTGCGGGAGTGGCTTCGCTGTGCTATGCCAGCGAGTCCCACACCTCTGTCTGTGTTCTGTAGAGGATGGAAAGAGCAGGCTGTCGTGATGAGTATTGCCGAGGCCAACCTGCTCTTTTCTTTCTGGATTACAGTCTCAGAAGCAGAACATAGACATTAACAGACAAGCCAAGTTTGCTGCCACCCCGTCTTTTGCCTTGTTCGTCAACCTCAAAAATGTGGTTTGTAAAATTGGAGAAGATGCTGAAGTGCTCATGTCTCTGTATGACCCTGTGGAGTCCAAGTTCATCAGGTTGGTGGCATTGCTGGGCTCTTTCCTCCTGGGTAGTGTTGTTACAAAATGGTTGTGGAACCAGCAAAATGGCCTGCTCTCGTGGGAAGCTCTTGGACATCAGCTGGGCTGACCTCCCCAGCAGCTGCATGAGGCTGTCTCTCTAGACCCATGACATGGGTCTGGACAGTGTGATGACAGGTTGCTTGGGCTCCACGTTGGGGCAAGTCTTCTCATACCTTTGCGTGCATGTTGATGTGTGCTTACTGGGATTCTAGTGGCCATGGGAGTGGTCTATTAGTATTGTAAGGAGCTAACTAAAGAGGGAAGTCATCCTTTGTTTTCTAGGTTGTCTTCATAGGGTTTTAAATCCAGACCCTCACGTACCACTTTTCTCTCAGTCTTGGTTTTTGACTCTTGGTCTCTGTGAAGGTCATTTCTATGACCTTGGCTTTGCCACTGTTTCTCCAACACGATTGCCCGGCATGTGGGTCCAGAACTGGGCCTTCTAGAACCGGGCCTTCCCCGTGAATACTTGTTACTGTTTGTTATACGAAATCCTGTCAGACCCATGGCTGCCATTACCACTGTGGTATTTGTTCCCCTACCTCTCTCTCACTTTTGGCCCTCAATACATGTACCTTTCTCTTGGCCCAAACCAAAATCCGAACCTACTACCGTCAAGTTAATTCCAACTCATAGTGACCCTGTAGGATAGACTATGACTGCCCCAGTGGCTAATAGAGTCTCCAGGCCATACTCTTTATAGAAGCTGACTGCCACATCTTTCTCCATGAAATAAATTGTTTCAACTGCCAAACTGCCATCCTTTTGGTTAACAGCAAGGCTTCACCCACCTGAGAAAACCACACCCAATCAAACCCATTGCTGCCAAGTCATAGCGACCCTATAGGATGGAGTAGAATGGCCTCACAGGGTTTCCAAAGCTGTAAATATTTATGGAAGCATCTTTCTCCCACAGATGGGCTGGTGGGTTCAAACTGCTGACCTTTTGGTTAGCAGCCAAGCACTTAACCACTGTGCTACGAAGCCTCCCTCTCTTTGTCCAGAAAGAAAAATTATATATGATGTGTGAAGTGTGTGTTTTGTTTAAAACTCTAGTATCTTCATTTGTATTTATTTAAAATTTAAAGACCTGGCATATGACAGAAGAGAGAAGACACATGAATTTCCCCCTCACTTCTGATGAGGATTTGTATTTCCTCTTGCCATAGAACTCAGTTCGTATTTTTATGTTGCATTTGGTTTATCACAGGCTCTAAAATAAACAAGAGCTTTGTTGAATTGTGTACTATGGTTATTCTAAAAGAACAAACATGCTTTTAAAATAATAACTGTGAAATGCCATCTGCTCATGATTCTGTCTCAGTCAGCACTTGAGAGAGCATTCAAACCTTGTGAGGAAGTTGTGTTGCCATGAGTCCTGTATCACGAGGGAGATGATATGGCATTCAGCTCTTTTTCATATTATTGGTATTTTTATAAGCTCATGTCGTTGCCCAGGTAGTGGACATCTATGGTAGTCATTGTAAGTCCATGGGAATGGGCATATCCTCCTGTATCTGGAAAAATAATTTTCTTTTCTTTTTTCCTTTTCTTTAAAAGTGAAAACTACCTGGTTCGCTGGTCAAGTTCAGGATTACCGAAAGACATAGACAGGCTGCATAATCTGCGGGCTGTTTTTACGGTAAGTGAACCCCTGCTGTTCAGTTCAACCACTGGCCATTGTAGTGACTCAGTGGAGTGACCATCCTGTGTCCACTTCCCCCGCTGGCACATCCTCAGGCTGCCTGTAATACGTGTGAATTCAGTGACAATAAAGAGCCTCCCAGATACCTTCTGGGTCTCTAGCTTCCCTTAGGATAATCATAACCACGGTGTACCCATGGATATTGAGTGTGGCTCTTATGCTGGTATTGTAAATTCCCTTAACGTTCACTGAATATTGTTACTCGGTTCTTTTTTGTTCTGTGAATAACCTACTGAAGTGCTAGAAAGCAAAGGGCCTCGATCCGTCTTTTCACTGCCTGTTGTGGTGGAAATGGTGCTGAATCATGACTCTGCAAAACAATGTATGGAAATTGATATTTGCAGGACCTTGGAAGCAAAGATCTGAAAAGGGAGAAGATCAGCTTCGTGTGTCAGATCGTCCGTGTCGGGCGCATGGAGCTGCGGGACAACAACACCCGGAAGCTGACCTCTGGCCTGCGGCGGCCTTTCGGAGCGGCCGGTAATCTGTTCTTCTCCTTTTCCTGGGAGTTTGAGCTCATCTGCTGCTGACTCTCAGACACTGGGCAGCTTTGATTGATAAGCTTTTCTGTTGGAAAGCAAAAGTGAAAAAGAAGAAACTCTGAAGTCTTTTCTGTGGGGTTTCAAGTCTCTGCTGCCCAGGCTGATTTGGTCCCCATGTTCCAGACATAAGTCACGTGTTGAGTTTAGGGTGACCTTGTCTTCCCTTGGGGGGGGACCTCTGACCCACTCCTCCGCCTTCAGGGGAGCCCCCATCACTGGAGGTTTGCAGGGCTTCCGGCCTTGGTGGTTGGTTCAGGGTTTGAGTCTGTGCGGAGTGGACACTGCAGAGAGGAGGCAGAGGCGAGCAAACCACGAGTGAGGTTCCGTTATCCTAAGGGAGCTGCTGCTTTCCCAGATTTGTGCTCTACTTTTTCAGTGACAGCACAAAAAAGTGAGCGTTTTTGGCCAAAAGGTAAACACTTTAATATAGTGGCTCCCAACACTCACTGTCCAGAGAACAATCTGGGGAGGTTTAAAAAATCCTCTTGTCCAGGTTCCACCACCAGCCAATTAAATCAGACCCTCAGCCATAATCAGAACCAGGCGAGTCAGTGACGGGGAACCCCGTGGCTGGCCGGTACTGCCACCAGACCCCCTCACCCTCCTCTCTTGTTATCTTTTGAGGCTCAGCATCTGAGGGGGCAGTCCTCTGCTGAGAGCTGCTGTGGTTAGGTGCCATAGGCTCAGCCCCCGACACATGGTGACCCCGTGCCCAGTGGAACGAAACGCCACGCAGTCCTCCACCCTGCCCATCATTGCTCATGGGTCAGAGTGTTGTGATTCGTGGGGTTTCACTGGCCCATTTGTGGAAGTAGAATGCCAGGCCTTCTCTCCTGCTTTGTCTTACTCTGGAAGCTCTGTTGAAATCTGTTCAGCATCCTATCACTGTGCACAGCTCCTCTGGCAGACATGTGGTGGCCGCACACAGTGTGCAGGCTGGGACTGAACCTGGCTCTCCTGGCTGGAAGGTGAGGTTCTACCACTGAGCCATGGCTGCTCCCAGCCCCCGGCGTACGTGCCACGCCACGCACTCTATCTACGAGCCACATGTCCTCCTCCTTGATACGAAGGGACACATCTCATTTCTGAGAAAATTCTTCAACCTTTTGGTAGCCATGTTCTGCCCATCCACATGCAACTTTAATTGCCACGTGCAAATTTAATTTTGCAGCTTTATCCAGAAGGACTTCTGCATGTCTATGTCGGTGGGTGGAACAGGGCTTTTCAAGATGAACAAAGTGTTCCTATACCTTTAAGCTTGCAGTTGTTAGTCCTCTATGAAAATAATGCCTCATTTCTTTCTTTAAAATCTTTTTATAATGTGAAAGTGACATAAAATTATAAAAATTATGGAAAAGACAGAAATTTAGATGTTAAACAGTACTTAGCTCAAGGGAGGAGGTGCTCTGGTAGATTTCCTTGTCTTTTTCCATGTGTTTGTGATGTACAATTTTTTAAAACAAAGTCAGATTGTACTGTGTACTATCTTTTATTTTTTTTAAAGAGAACATAACATTATATCACAAACATTCCATTATTAAAAAGTAGGATTTTGAATAGGTGCAACATGCACGGTGCCCGTGTTTCAGCGATCCTTTATCTTGGGACCTGGAGGGTGTTTCCAGGTTTGTGGTACATGATGTGCATCCTTGAACCATCTGGCTGTCAGCTGAGTATGAATTCCCAGAAGGCGAGTTGCTGAACTCAAGGGCGTGTACACCGTGGCCAGCTTGATGTTTTGTGGCCAGTAGCCTCGTGGTCCCCAGTGAGCGGGCCTGTCTGTCCCTCCCCGCAGTGTCTTTCATCACGCTTTTCTCCCGCCTTGCTGTCCCTGATGCTCATCATCCCTTCCCTGATGCCGCCTCCCTTGCTGCCCCTCTTCCATTCCAGCATCATGGAAAACCACCTGTTTGCTGCATCTTTCCTGCCCTTATACCTGAATGCGGGATCCCTGATGGTGGAATAGTTAACTGCTCCCCAGCTAACTGAAAGGTTGGTGGTTCGAACCCACCCAGCTCCATGAGAGAAAGGCCTGATGAGCGGCTCCTGTAAAGATTACAGCCGAGAAAGCCTCATGGGGCAGTCGTGCTCTGTCACGCGTGGTTGCTGTGAGAGTAGGAACAGCCCTGGACGCAGAGATGCTAGACTGTCTGTTTAGGGGTGTTACCTTCACCTCCCTCATGTCCTCCTTTGGCGACACGGACGTTGTGGGGCCCAAAGTCCAGACCATGGAGAGAAGTTCTGCAATAGGCACTAGAGAGCAGTGAGGCAGAGTCCTCAGGGCCATATGCCTGCATGTGGCTCCCAGTGTCTCCTTGGATGTTGGGGGCTTGGCCTATAAGGGTTGTCACTTACAGTGGCAGTGCTAAGACTTTTTGCAACAAATTGGTACTCGGACTGAGGTTGCTTTGCTTGCTTTTTGCTGCTCTCCTGCACAGAGTTCCTGGGCTACTGGGGTGCCCCTGGGCTCCTAGGGTGCTCCTAGGCTCCTGGTAGGCTCCTGGGCTCCTGGATCATTCCTTAACTGGGCTCTGGGGATGAGCCAGGCCATCACAGAGACTCACAATCAGATAGTAGGTCAGTTCTAGGATGGAGAAGAGATTGAAGGCCTTGTGGGAAGGTCACCCTGTGTGGACTGCGGTGGGAGATGGTTTCCTGTGTCTGGAGATCTATTTTTCTGGCACACGGTTGGTTGACTGGTCTGTGCTGAAAATACTCTGGCTGATTGGACTTCAGCCATGAAACAAGTTCTATTTAGTGATTCCACACTGGTGCTCATAACATGGTCTTGTACATGTGGGCCTCTTAGCCAGTTACAGGTATCTCACCATCCCGGGCTAACCACTTGCCCTGAGAGTGCTTGGAGCTGGGAAATCTTCCAGGTGGAGCCTTGAGTCCAGCCCATTTGTCCTCTGAGCAGCTGTAACTTGATGGTTCTGATGTACATCTGACTTTAACACACTTGTAGGCTCTGTGGCCTGTGAGTACCCTTGGTTCAGTGGTGTATGTGCGGTTTGTATGCCTCAGGATGCCTTTCAGCTTCCTTAGGCAGGGCCACCAGGGCTGCATATGCTGCTTTTCTGTTCCCACATTGTCCTCCTATTTTATTTTTGGTGGGGAAAGGAGATACAAATAGAAATTGTTCACAGTTTCAATATATAGGCATAGCCATTAGGGAAGGGGTGTGTGTCAAAGACAGTGAGTGAGTGGGGCCCCACTTGTCTTTAGTCAGGTGTGACAGTGAGGAAGGGCAGAGGCAGAGCCACATGGGGTTAAGCCAGGAGTGCTTGCTCTTTGTCATGATCAAGGGCAAGAGGAGTTACCTGGACGGTAGAAAGGGACTCTGCACTAACCCTTGGACGTGCTGCACATAGTCACCCGCTGGTAAGTTCTGTGGATGGTGCAGCTCTAGGGAGTCAGTTACATGACAGGTAAAGGGATGACTTATGTGGAATTCCTGCTCTTGGGGTCCAGCCCCAGTGGGGCCACCTTTCTCAGACAACGTAATTTGCCTCACAAACATGGAAATAATTTGAACTTGAACATCAGAAAATTCCACCATCCAGGAAGCCGCTTGATGCCCTTTGTTTTCATGAGAGTTGCAGCATTTCAGCAAAACCATCTCTGTTCTCTTTGTTCTTTGTTTTTTGTCCCTAGTGATGGATGTGACGGATATAATCAGTGGAAGAGTAGATGACGAGGACAAACAACACTTCATTCCCTTTCAGCCGTAAGTATGGGGCAGAGTGACCACATACACGCTGGCGCTAATTTTCTGCACAGATAGGGATTGATTATTTCGTTGTGATGGCAATCATTGCCTCAGTCACTGCCGTGGCATGCAGAAGCTTTTGTAGTCCTGGGAATCCCGGCTTAACTTGCTCATGGACCAGGAAGTAGGAGATTTGACACCTGATCATGAATCACCTTACCACCTTATCACATAGGGTGTGCAGAATTACAGTTCTACCCAGAGTGTGAATGTTTCTATACATAATTGATTTATTCCAGTAAGGACTCACATTTTCAAGATAAAATAACATGCAAGTTCATCAATGTAGGTTACTGGTTTCAAAATAGAAAAACAGAGGATGTCGAGTTCCTTTGTAGAGTGAGAAACAACACTTGAGAGCAAATCATCAAGCCCCTAGTTTGGCATAGACTCTGCCTGTGCTTGTGGTTTTAATGCATTGTCTAATTCTGACATGGAGTCTTTAGACAGGGATGGGGAGCTTAGAAAGCTGTGGGGCCAGATGCGGTAAATTGACTCTCTGATGTAAAGGTGGGATCTGTGGAAAAGGTTGAAAAATTGGGTGTTATTTTCTGGAGTTTCAAGTAAGAGAGCCACGAGAGGCTGGTCTTTGGCCATTTCAAGGGCCCTTCTACACCTTGGACAGAGATGGAGGGAAAGAAGGAGGAGTTAGAACGGCGCAGGTTTATCATAAGAGACAGTTCCCGGAGTTAGGATGACCTGTCAGACTGTCCCGTGTTCTGTCTTTTCTCTTCATTTTTGTATTTAACTCAAGAAGTCCGAGGCTTGAAACAAATTTTCTTTTAGAAATTTTGCATGACTTTCAGTATTGGCTGGGGGTGATTGGGGGGCTGATGATGCTAACTGGGTGTTCAGTTCCTCTCCTGGGTGCAGGAAGTGTGAATTGGCTTCCTCCTCTATGTCAGTCCCCCCAAGACGAGGCCACTCCACTCAGTCTCCTGAGCCTTGAGTGCCACTTACGAAAGCTGAGGATTGTATAGTTGTCTTTGCAGGCAGCCTGGCTGTGCAGAGAGTGTACGGGGGCTGTTTCTTTAGCCCAGTAGGGGATTTTGTAATCTCCTTGACATGACAATAACAGAAAATCCTGCACTGTCAGGCTTGAAGTGGAAGGTGAGCGGTGTGTCTGTCTCCCAGCACACCTGGAGACAACAACAGTTTTTTTTTTTTGTGACTGACATGCTTCAGATTTACTTCTCTGTCCAACAGAGTTAACCAATAGCCACACGTTGTTGTTGTTGTTGTCATTTGCTGTTGAGTTGGACCCGACTCATAGCAACCCCTCCTTGGGTTTCCAAGGCAGTATCAATATGGAAGTAGATGTTCCAACCTTCTATTTAAATTAATTAAAATTTAGTAAAATAAAAAAAAAAAATCTTGTAACACCATTCAAGTGTTCAGTAGCAGCATGTAACTGGTGGCTACCATACAGATTAATACAAATTTGAACATCTCCATCATTTCAGAAAGTTCTGTTGAACAGCACTGCTTTGGAATAGCATCTAACAGAAAGAGGAAGACCCTCAGTGGGGTGGATTGACCTTGTGACCACAGTGATGGGCTCAAACATGGCAGTGATTGTGAGGATGGTGCAGGACGGGGCAGTGTCTGCTTGTCATTCATAGGGTCACTCTGAGTCAGAACTGACTCGACAGCACCTATCAGCAACCAGGGGGCACAGTTCAGCAGAATCTAGACTTTTCCTAGCAAATGATGGCAGGAGTTGAGGTTATTAGACAAATACACCATTATTAAATTGTAATATTAAGCTGCTGCCTTTGCCCATGAGAAGTAAGACTGTTTTGAATGCTATTTTATATACTAGACCATGGAGTTTCTTGATGCCCAGGTGAGCTACTAAGTCGAAATTACCTGTTGCTGCTCTTTTTTTTTTGAGGGGGGGAAACTCAAGGGAGAAACTAGTTTGGTTTTTGTTTGAAAAGTTGGCAATGTTAGTAGTTTCACATTGCCTAAGGCATTTGACGGCTAACCAGAAGGCTGGTGGTTCAAACCCACCAGCCACTCCTTGGAAGGACAATTGGGCAATCTACTTCTGTAGTGATACCACCTCAGAAACCCAAGGAGGGGTCGCTGTGAGTCGGATCCAACTCGAGGGCAGTGAGTTTGTTTTTTGGTTTTAGTTGTTATGGGACCCTGTCGTGAGCTGTTTGAGATCTCTGATGTGTGGCTGCCATCTTTTTCTATCTTGTAGTGATACGTCCTCTGTAAAAAAAGATCATTGCCCATTCCACTCTTACTGTAATTTGGGGTCCTTGCCCTAATATAAGGAGCTCTGGTAGCATAGTGCCAAAGGCACTTGACTGCTAATCAGAAGGCTGGCGGTTCAAACCCACCAGCCACTCCTCGGAAGGAAGATGGGGCAATCAACTTCCATAATGATACCGCCTCAGAAACCCAAGGAGGGATCGCTATGAGTCGGGTCTGACTCGACGGCATGTAACAACAACAACAACAGCCCTAATATAGGAAGACTAATGTATGGATTAATATTTGTAGTGTTAGAAACAAAAGAGCATCCTGGTTTTAATAGCAAACCAAACCATGGAAAGAGTTTTTTGGGAAATGCCATGGTAATGAAACTGTTTTTTGCTCTATTAAAACTGGTTTATTATCTCACGGGTTGGGCTATAGGGAAGGAAGCCCAGTAGTGTACACCTCCCCTTCTTTTTTAACTTGGTGAAGTAAATTACAGCAGCCCTCCACTCCGTTGAGTAATGTGGGTTCCAGTGATGAATCACTGCTCTTGGTTTTCAGAAGTGATTTGAAACATCATGAACTTGATGTGTGTTTTCTCACTCATTTCACATTGTGCTCTGTTGTACTACATGGTATTTCTGTTTGCACATGTTGCCTGTTTGCATTCACTCACGTGATTCTAGTGCAGCATCTTCTAGGCGACCTGAAACCAAAGACCTTTCCATTCATGACTGTTGCATGGTTTTACTTTTCACACATGGTAGTTGTGTTCTCCACAGACTTTGCCATTCTTCTCACACTGAATCTTGAAGACTCTATTGAGTGCACAATGAGATAGTGTAGTGTGGTCGCCAGAAAGCTTCCTAGGCAGTTAGGTTGGAGGGACCCCCTTACCCCCTGCTTGTCTTGGTTTCCTTTTCCCTTCAAACTATCTGCCCCTTGACCCATGCTGTGCCTTGTTGTTGTTGTTGTTATGTGCCGTCGAGTCGACCCCGACTCATCGCGACCCCTCCTTGGGTTTCCGAGGCAGTATCACTACGGAAGTAGGATTGCCCAACCTTCCTTCCGAGGAGTGGCTGGTGGGTTTGAACTGCCAGCCATCTGGTTAGCAGGCAAGTGCTTTAGCCACTATGCTACCAGAGCTCCTATGCTGTGCCTTAGAACTATTGAAATTGGAGAAATGGCCAAGACCATGCCTTGGGATGAAATGCCCTTCAACCACTTTACTCTCAGGGAAGTCCCTTCATGTCACTGTCTAGTGGAAATGGAAGGAGCCCTTGTGGCACTGGCACAATAGTTAAACGTTTGGCTGTGGACCGATGGTTCAAACCCATGCAGTGACTTTGCGGCAGAAAGACCTGGTGATCTGCCCCCGTGAATATTCTAGCTTGGGAAACCCTCTGGGGCAGTTCTCTGTCACGTGGGTGACTATGAGTTGGACTCGCCTGCAGCCACCCAGTGGAGATGGAGTGGAGCCCGGTGCATGTTTATTTCCTGGGGAGAGGGTCGGCCCTGTTTGCTTTACTTCTCTCACGTGGTTCAGTATTTTCCTGATTAATGCTCTTCCCTGTTTCTCTTGTTACCTATCCTATCCTTTGTTGTGCGTTGACTCACGATGCCTCTGTCTCGCCCTCGGTGACGATGATCTCTTGTGTCCCCCTGTTATGTGGCCTCTGGGTCTCTGTGCCCCCTTGTCTCCTGTGGTCTTGGTCGTCCCGTGCCCTCCAGGCTCGCGTTGGACGACGCCATCCGACACAAGCCGCTGAACATGTCATCCCGTTTTTCACCCAGGGTGGCAGGGGAGAATGACTTCCTTCAGACTGTTATAAACAAAGTGATTGCTGCTAAAGAAGTCAACCACAAGGGGCAGGGTACGTATTGGATTTTTTGTTTCCATAAATGTCCATTTGAGTTTATGTGGGTGGTGTGGTCTGGTTTGCAGTTTGTGTGTTTGTGTTTGATTAGGATGGTGATGGTGATGTCCGTGTGGGACAGTGATGCGTAATGGGTATCTCTGCCATACAGCACACCTGTATTTTCCTGCTCATCACTCTTGTTAGCACGGCTATGAGCCAACGTCCTGGATGAGAGGAAAGACTGAGCCAGATGGAACTACATGTTTGGAAAGAGCCCAGAGTTGATGAGACTGGAAGCAACTCAATCCTTGGGCTCACTCCGTCTTCTCCAGCTGTCTCCTGCCACCCTGATCATTTCAGAGAGCACGACGGTGATTTTCCAAGGGAATGCAATGACTGTCCATTGAGTATTGTTCCCGCTCCCTGTTTAGAGGAGCCTGGAGACAGTGAACGTGACCCACCTCAGTTCATGTTCTTTGGCTCAATTGTTCTTGCCGTTGTTTGCCCTTTTCACTGTCATGGTGTTTCTGGGCCCCCTGACAAATGGCTTCATGTGTACGGATTCTGTTTGTCCTCTGAGTCTGTTACAAAGTCATCCTCCTCTCCTAATCCCAGCCCGACCCTTGTCGTTTTTGGTCTCATGCTGACAAGTTGCTAAGCAGCTGTAGACAGAGGCAATGAAGCAGTCACCTTAGGGCTGGTGACAGTTGGCACTTGGAACTGGCTAGCAGGGCTGCAGGAAAATAACTGTTTACTGAGGCCCGCCTCTGGCCAGAGAAGAAGTTACCTTCAAAACGGCATGTATGCAGTGTTGCCCATAGTTGTAATGGAGAGTCTGCCTCTTAGTCCTTGATTGGATGCAGATGTGAAGCGAACTCAACTGAGCTTGAGTGAATGGACCCATTGCATCGTCAAGTTATGCTCTGTGGGTAGATGTTTTATTTGTATTTCTTGAATTTTGGTACAGATATATACAACCATTGTGCAGGTTGACAGTTCCTCCACGCACAACTCAATGATTATAGTGAGTGTCGATTACACTCTTCATGTTTATGTCGCTAGGGTTTTAAAAACTAGTTACCTTGATTCATTTCCCTGTTGTTTTGAAGGAGAGACTGAAACGAGTTGGAAGAATGTTCTGGAAGAATGAGCCGTACCCACAGCTCTGCGGGGACATTTGACTTTCTTTTGGTGGGAACTCACTTTATAGTCTTTCCTCCTCTGTCCTTCTCCTAGGCAAGCATCCTCAAATAAAAAATAAAAGCCCCAGCCCCAAACGTTAATGAAACGTGGCCTCTGCTGACAGCAATTTTAATCTGAGCAGGATCCATCTTCTCATAAATTATCCGCCCTACCAATTTGCACTCTGATTGGAAACCACAGGGCAGTCTTCTGAAAGCTGTTTCCCTGGGAAGACTCGGGCTGGGGGTCTCTGCTCAGAAGGTGCTGTGGAGGCTTCCCTCTCAGCAGGGCTCCCGTTGTTTCTCTGGTTTCTTTTGCGGAGTCATCAGAGTTTTGATAAACTTTTATTACAGACAGTCACATAGAAAAGGTGAAGATGGTGTCAACCAGCAGGAAATCAGTGAGAAAGGGCTTGAAACCACCCAGCCAGTCTCCTGGACATGTGGCCAAAATCTATGAAGCAAGAGGTCCAAGGACTGATTGGCAGTGACGCCCAGTTCCTTGATGTCCTGGAGGGCTTGGGGGACAGTTCAGGTGCCGGAGAGAATTGAAAGGCCCAGCAACGTTGATGGAGTTTTCGTGGCTCCATAGGTGCCTTCCCAAAGCCCAGTGCCCTGGGTGGCATGACTTGCTTCATGTCACCTGAGTGTGGGAACATGTGTTTCTTTGTGCCCCTTCTGGTCAAAAGCCATTGCCTTCCAGGGCGACGGCCAGGGATATGCCTGCTGAAAGCGGAATTAGCAGCTGGGTTGGCTGGGTCCTGGCCCTGGCTGCTCCATTCCTTGCTGGCCATTACCCTCAATTAGCGGCATGCTTGCTTGCACATGAAAGGCATGGGGCAGTGGGGGTCACCGTGAGTGAATGTCCCCCTTCACAAAGAAGCCAGCCAGTTCCCCACAGACAGCTGTCACCCTCATGCCTGCCGACCCTGAGCTCAGCTTTGATCCTGGGCTTGGCTAAGCTAGACTCTGGCCTGTTTTTGGCAACGTGTTTTACTTGTCACCACTGGTTGTTCATATTTAGTGTAAGTTACGGTGCCTGAGGTGCAGGGTGTTTTATGTGGACATAGAATCCTTGACACCCTAACATCTGCCACCATTGTTTGAAGCACGTTTTGTGCCAGTTTTCTCTTTTCTTTGTTCTTAGAGTTGATGCACAGAATCACACCAATGCTCACCTCGTCTTTGGTGGAAACGGGCCTCATCTTCTCCTGTAGGAAAGAGTGCTAAATTCTTGGAAATCAGGACAATTTAATCTCCACATTTAAATTACGTCATCATTGCAAATTGGATTGTCCCTAGGACACTGGCTGATGTGCTAAGATGTTTGAGTGAGCTGGGTTTGGGGAGAAGCAAAATAAAGGGGTTTAATGTCCTGTCCTCGTTCTGTGCCTTTGGCGCTGGCACCGGATGCGCTTGTCAGCATCCTGTGTGCCTGTGAGGAGTGTTCTGGTTGATGCTTCCTGCAGACACTCGGTCCCCAGGGAGGCTCGTGGATCACACCTGTAGGACTTGAGAAGCCTTATGCTGATCCCCGTGTTCCCAGTGGGGACCAGCTGCATGTGGGCTAGATGACACATGTGCGTCTGTGGGTCTCCTTGACTGGCCGGCTTTACTCAAGAACAGAGCCATGGGTTATGGGCAGGCCATACCCAGCTATCTGAGGGTCTTCCAGGTCTGGAGAGATGGCTGGTATGTGATGCTGTTGTGTGAATTAGAGGGAGCTCTGGCAGCGTAGTGGCTAAAACACTTGACTACTAACCAGAAGGCTGGTGGTGCAGACCCACCACCCACTCCTTGGAAGGTTGGGCAATCCTACTTCCGTAGTAATACTGCCTCGGAAACCCAAGGAGGGGTCGCTATGAGTCGGGGCCGACTCGACGGCACATAACAACAACAACAACAACAGGGGGGTGTTGTTGGTGTCCGGGCACACGGCATGGTGAGCTGTGTTGGTGCTGGAATGTAGCTCCTACTTGCCTCCCCTGGCTAAGTGGCCTGTGCAGCGTGCAGCCCGAACCACAGTGTGTGTACCCCGTCTTGATGCCACCCTCTGACGTCTCGCTACGCTCCCTCCCATGATCTGGGATTTCCTATCTTAAAAAGAATGGAAAAGAAGAAAAAGTGAAAGGAAAGAAAAGAAAAACACCAAAAGAGAAAACAAATATCCAGCTTTGAAGGATGCATTGTTCTGCCTGCTGACCGTCAGCCTGCCCAGCCCTGCTGCTGCCCTGGCCTCATTTCCCACCTCTCCCTGCCCCTCTGGGCCCCAGCCATAACGGGCTGTCCTGCCCTGGGCACCAGCTCCGTGCATAACTCGGCTCCGTGTCCTTCCCACTGTGGTCCCCACGGCTGCAGACTTAGGGGTGAGTTTCCTGCTCTGGACTCGCCTCTCCTTCGGGAGCACTTTGTCCTTGCCTATTTTGCTGAGACACTAGGTTTCATGCGTGTCTCTCGAGGTTGCCCTCAAGCCCCCGGTAGGGGGCTACTGAGTGTTCATCCTGGTCTGTGGTGCTTAGTGCCTGCCTGGTGCACGGTAGGTGCTTTGCAGACATGGGCACTTGCAAGATGCAGAGAGGAAAGCAGGTGTCGCCAGCTGGCAAAGAGCAAAATACTATCAGTGATGTTTAACTTTCTGAACCACAGTTACTCCTGCAAAGGAGAAGGAAGTTTCCAGGCCAGCTGGTAGTGGACTTGGCAGCCTTAGGGCAAGGCACTGTGGGCGCTTTACTCCAGCAGAGCCATTCTTGGTGGGACTGGTGTCAAGTGGCCTTTCAAGTAGCCATCGATTCCTTCAGCGCCCATTTCGAGTGCAAGTTGCTTGTGGACAGGGACCCGAGTTGCCTTCTTTTTCTCTTGCTGAGTGTAGAGTGGTGAGCTCGTCCATGATGGCAGGTGGCCCTGATCTCTGGATACTTACATCTAGAGGGGGCACAGCCACACATGCACATGCAGCACATGTGCACACACACACGAACACACCACACAAGCGCACAATACACACACATACAAATGTACACACATGCACATACAACCATACACACATGCATAACACATACACATACTATACACATGCGTACACATGTATAACAATACACATGCATGAACTACACACGTGTACACATATACACACACAGCCATGACTTGGTTTAGAGTGTTTGCAAATTTCACATATTTGCACAACACACATGCACACTCATGCACCCATGTACACACAGCGACACACAATGCACACAAGTATGCACACATGCACAGTACACACATGTAAACATGTCCATATGCACAGCTGCACCCACGTGCACACACCCAGCACTGCTGTGTGTCAGGACAGATGCAGGGGAGAGGTGCATCTCAGTCTACTGATGGGCACGTGGACTCCCACAGAGCTGAGTGACCTGGGAGCAAGCAGCACCAGCCCAAGGCATCAGGAACAGAAGCCCTGCTCACCAGCTGGTAGCGGTTGTCCCCGATCCCACTCAGGAGCATCTGTGTCCTTGGAAAAGACTTGCAGAGCTGAGCAACTTCACTGTCTGCCTTGGACTTTGTTGAAAGTGCCTGCTCCACTCCCTCTCCTGTACGTCTGCTTGAATGCCACAAGGCTGTTTCCTGCTGAACGTGTTGTCTGTCACTCAGCAGGGAGGGAGCACTGGAGCACACTGCTCTCCCCAAGAAACCTTTGGCACTTCGGTGTAGAGTGTTTGCCAGTCGCCTTTTCCCCCTTGGGGTGAAAGAACTGAGTGTTGGCCTGAGCATCCCCGCCTTTGCGGTGACGTGTCCAGCAGAGGCCCGGTGCTGCAGGCCCAGGCAGTTCCAGGCAGTGTGGGGCCGGCCCTGCACTTTGCTGCTCACCTTCTGGGAGGTGTGGCGACACTGCTTAGCCACTTGAGACTTCTGTGCGGTCAAGAAGCTGTAACTTTACCTCTCGATTGGTCCCTTCTGCTGTCCTTGGGAGAACAGAAAATGGCAGTCTTCTCCGTCCACTCCCAGAAAAATGCTACCTTCTGATTTATCTTAAAAGTGTATCAACTCCAAAGTGTTGTTGGTCCTGGCAGATATAGCCCACACTGTGCTTGCATGCCTTTCACCTGCCAAACTCCTTTTGAAGATGTGTAGGGTGATGCATGACTCACTCACCCACTCTTTTCTAGGTTTGTGGGTGACATTGAAACTGCTTCCTGGAGACATCCATCAGATTCGTAAAGAGTTCCCTCACTTGGTGGACAGGACCACAGCTGTGGCCCGAAAGACGGGCTTCCCTGAGATCATCATGCCTGGTAAGTCCTGCTTCCGTCTGCACTTCTGAGTGGTGCAGTTGGTGGAGTGCGCGGGTGGACTGCTGTGGTCAGCCACACGGACAGTAGAGGGCTGAGTATGCGGTGAGTGCTGCCTGTTGTGGGTCATCCTGGAGACCCAGAGCTGTAGCCGGAGGGGCGACCGGGTGACTCAGGAGGGCTGGTCGTAGAGACTCCTAGCGGCACTGGAACTGGGATGATGGGCTGAGACAGGGAACCTGCTGGAACCCAGCACGAAAACTTCAAATGGGTTTCATTACCCACCTTGTGCGCATGTCGTTATTATCAGGAGCCAACTCTGTCACTGTCCTGTGTGGCTTCTGCCCTTAATTGGGACACCTTGTGGTTTTGTCTTCTGCCAGTGGCATCAAGTGATAAGGGGGCATTGATGTGCCACATCTCAGTCCCCACAAGATCGAGGATTGGGTTGGTCAGAAGTCCCTGGGGTGCCAGTTGTTAATGCGCTCCCTGCTAACTGGAAGGTTGGCGGTTTGAACCCTCCCAGAGGCTCCTGGTAGAGAGGCCTGACAATCTACCTCCACAAATCAGCCCTTGCAACCCAATGGACAGTGGACTAACTGAGCTCCAGACCGAGCCAGGGGCTGGGCCACGTGAAGGGTGGGGCAGTGTCAGTGTCTTGTCCTTGTAGAAGCTGTTGCATCGGTGAGTGACTTTTGTGTATGTTGTTACCACAATAAAAGGAAAACAAAAGAAAGAAAACCCTGTGG